TCTGAGGCAATTGAAGAACATTTTGCAAATAGTGTATCATAGCATGGTTTTTGTATTTTACCAAGTAACGTTGTAATTTGTGCTAAATATATAGTTGGTTGTCCTCACCTGTGTTCTCATTCACTACAATGCACCAGATCGATCTCTTTAGTTTTCCCAGGCGTTGCCGTATAGACTAAGTAGATACTTCAGATCGACTTTGCAAACATAAATTATAAACTTTTATGGTATTTTCTACTAGCATGTGTCAGCAGCAACTGCGGTTGGTGGTAACGAACACAGTGACGAAGATTTTCTTTATTCTATATGCTCAAACAAAATTTATTGCCACTATTCAGCTTAGAATGGGTATCAAAAGCGATCAATCTCCTAATTCCAAACTTTTAAAAGATGACCTAACACCACATACTACACTAGATTTACTAACGTCAGTTAGGGAAAAATGTCCATTGGATGTTTGTCATTTAGATATTCCAGTATTTGTAGCAAGCATAAGCTTGATAAGTTGTAAACAAAATCTAGTCTCTTAAAAACGATGACGTTTATACGTCATTAACTCGTTTTACAACTTGCCCAATTCAGATGTTCAAAAAACTATCAATTCCATTGTATGGTATTTACTTGCCTGAAATGGATTGACATATAAGGGAAAGAAGGGGTTTTGTGGAGATTTCAGTATTTTCATGGTTGAAATCATGAGTCAATTGAAGCTAGACCACCATGAAAAACCTGGAAGCACTGGACGGCCGTTTCGTCGTATTTTTGGACACCTCAACAGTGCGCATCCACGATTCCATGGTCTAGTTTCAATTGACTCATGGTTTCAATTATGAAAATATAAGGGAAAGTCTATAATTCTGCGTAGGCTATCGAAAATTAGAAGATACTGTGCATCATGTAAATCCTTCAAAATCCCACCGCACGTTTTGATAACATCTACTTTCATCTTGTAAGAATCAAGCCGTACTCGAACGCATTCTCATACCGTCCAGTATGTGCTGTGCATTTCCCATGGATGTTACTACTAAACTTGCTGCTCATGACTTCGTCGTATGGTTGAATAAGAAATTCTCGTTGTCTAACGATTGTTATATCTCTCTGTTGGCCCCTGTTCGGTTCCGAATGATGTCACTCTTATTCAATGACCGATGTTCAGATAAATGCCATAACTTTTCGCACACATAGAATCACACTATTCGTAGCTGCATCAAATATTTGTGTCTAAACGAAGCAAAGCACCTTTATAACTGCAAAGTTTCTATCTTTATTCGATCAATACATATTTAATCGTTTTTTCCAGTATGTCTCTATTTTATGGATCGACCGAAGATAAAGAGCGAATGGATGAGTGAGACTCAGTAATTGTAACAATGTGTGTGTTCTAAAAATTCCTGAAAAGCGTTTTGGTTTACAGCGCTGCTATTTCCCGAACGTGTTTCCTTGATTTTCGGTGGTATTGGTTCCCAACCACATGATATTTGAGGCCGAACATAAGATGGCTCGGAAGACCTACACCAAACATTGAGGATTGGGAGAAGGTCAAACATGATGGATGCGGGTGGACGGAACTGGGATGGCATGACTCCACACAACTTGTAGTACCAGTTCATATGTTAGGCCCATATACTTTATTCTAGTTACTGGCCAAGCCAATTCACTTGTTCATTGAGTCATCTTTTGATCTTGTTAATCATTTGCTTATTAACCTTGAGTACGTTTTATATGAGCGCATATGTGTACACTTCGTATCTTATTCATCATATGTCTGTCACTCATTTTTGCCTGCCTATAAATGTTAGTTAACGCTTGCTTAAAATGAGTTGGCTTCCCAGCCATCTCCAATACGCATCATCTTTGCTTCGCTTGCTTACAGTTGCTCATGTGCTTACAACTTTCTGGTCTGCATCGATTATCAATAAAAATGTAGTTGCCGCTTCCCTTGCCTTCTGATATTATACACCGTTAAGATTGGTATTAATAACGGTTATCGAAGCGAACTATGATCGAAGCACGGCACTACAAACTTCACATACATTTCATTAAATATGTTACTTCATTCCTATTCTAAGAGCGTTCTTTATAAGTCCTCAGATGCAACAGCTGAATATCAAGATAGGATAAGTCTGTGAACACAATAATGTGTTATCTACGTATAGTCTTATAGATTATGTAGTAACACCAAATCACGTTCACCATTTTAGACTAATTTTATCACTCATGTAGCATAGACAAGTGCACTGATACCGACCTGGACATTATTCTCACATTTCTATAGGTTAAATATCTTACAGGAATTATGTAGCCATGTTTTTAAATTTCTCGGTCTTCCTAAAGTAAACTTTTATTATTTTCAGAAGGGGTTTCGTGGAGATTTAGTATTTTTATTATTTGACCCTAAGATCTGTATGTACTACGTGATTTTGTCATTATATAATGAATGATGGTTGGAGATAAAGTCTCTTAAGTATGAGTAAAGGTTACGGCATGCAACGACTAATTACTATTGTTGTTTGATTATCTGCTAGAAACGACTGTTAGCTTGACTTCATTTTTGTACATCCCATTTTATTGGGAATATTCTGTTGATTCTTAGAAACTTAACAGTTGTATTGACTTGCCTTTTTTGCTGTATAGTACGTCATTTTTTATCAGAGAAACTTTTGACCTTATGGTGAATGAGTGGCATTATTGAAATATCTTGTAACTGTTGACATAATTTGCTATCATAAAATTATATTAAATTAAACATAAAACTTGTGTCTTAAGCAATCGTTGATAATGAGTGGCTTGTAGACTTTTAAACTATATGAAAGATAAAGTAACTTGGGATTATGGAATAAATCTGCGACAAGACCAAATATCTGCAGTGTTTGTCACAGTGAATATATTCATTTTGTGTTTATTTAATCATCGTAAGTCTTCGGAGTTTAATCGTAGACAATCAGGAGTCACTTTACCTCACAGGCTTTTAGCAGATATTTGTACCGGTCACGAGTCTCCACTTGGACACTCTGGTACTCTCATTCTTTATTAACATGTTCCCTGTTTGTTCATCGGTTATGTATTTCAGGAATTCTGATAGCACTATGATGTCTGAATAAAGGCCTGTAAATAATTAGGTGTGCAAGACTTCACACAATTTTTACGGAACACAAACAAGCTGGCGATCTTCATTAAAGCAAATGCCTCAAACAACATTTGAGCTTGCAATAAAATGTATTTCCTCTTTTGGCTAGCCAGTCTAGTGGTCGGATACAATGCTGCCTCTTCGTATGAACCAAAAATACTCGTCAAATCCACAACCCCGAACAAACTGGACAGTCTAATTGACAGGATTATTCAGTTGCGCACTAACCAAATAACTTGAAAGGTGGGTTTTACCAATATGTCTTGCAAAATAACGTAGAAAATCGTACTGGATGTGGTACTGAGACAGTAAATATCAACACAAAATTAAAGTGTACGTGGGTATTTTCTTCTCTGACAGACGAAATTACAAAGTATGAGAACCTGTAGTTGGATTGGTCCTAACCACACAATCCTCGAATCTGAACCTGAGATAACTGGAAAAATGCATATTCAACAATTAACGAGATGAGAAGGCCAGTAATGGAAATGGCGGGAAGAATCAATTGAATTCAAAGAGATGGCATTGTTCAGCCTCGCAGACATGGTCACTGTGTATAATTTGTCTTCACTCACACTAAATATACTACTCTATCGTTAGCTCAAATGTGTCCTTCAAAGTACTAGACGTTATATACGATGAGTCAGAATAGACAAAAATCTATGGTTATCAATATCTACAAAATAATACCCAGAACAAAACGGATTGCCTGAAGGAATACACTGTCTTGAGTAGCAGCTGCAAAAATTGAGAAACGAAAGCTGATTTAAAGAAAATGTTCACTAACACGTAGAGTATTATAGTAGCTTAGGAATTTCAGCATACTGAAACATCAAATTATGCAGCTACATGAAAGAAGCAGCTAATTAAAGCATAGAACGAAGGAAACAGACCGCCACTGCTCACAATTATGGAGGACATGGTGATTCGCGCTTTATTCTGATTGGTCGCTAAGTGGCCTGACACAATTACGAAATCGAGTTTTAATTGTGACCGAAGTGAAGCTCGGTATTTCCACTCGTGATCTGGTGTGGATGCGTGACCGAGCACCTTCACCTAGGTGATTCCATAAAAACTAGTGCGATCGGCATCAAATGTCGAAGACTTACAGAGCTATTAATTTCGCGGACTTATTTACCTTTACGCCCTAAACTTGAATACTGTATACAAGCAGCTAACCCCTGCCTAAAAAAAGACTGAACTCTTGGAAAGGGTTCAGAGAACAGCAACTAGGCTGATTCCCGGAATAGCGAAGCTCCCGTATGGTACTAGACTGACCAAGCTAAACCTATTCCCGCTGTCATATAGAAGAATCAGAGGTGACTTGATTATAGTTTTCAAATTGCTAAATGACAAATTTGCACCTGATATGCCCTCATTTTTCTTGTCTTCCAAAACAGAAAATCTACGAGGACACTACAAAAAAGTTCAAAAGCCCAGAACGAATTACTTGTCAGCTGACTACCGACTTTCCCATCGAATAATCAACGAGTGGAATTCATTACCTCAGCACGTGGTTGAGGCTCCATCCGTCGACTCCTTCAAAAGAAAGTTGGATCAGCTGAGAGACCATCATTGCCAGGACTAACACAGGCCATCAAGCCTCCTGTCCTTTCCAAACTGAAACTGAAACCATTTAAAACAGTCTAGTGACAAAGGCATTGGATAATGTAATGGGTCGTGGACAAAGGATAAAATTTAACCTGTCGTAATGTCGTGCCACGAATATTCTGATTCATGCGAGACGAAACACATACATGCACTATGGAAATCGGCTCCCGACTGTCTCTTCAAAGCATGACCTCAGGCTAGTAACCACAGTCAGCCAAAACAACAGTTCAGATTTCGCATGTGTTGCTAAGACCAAAATTAACGCAATCAAATGGCTAAGTTATCGCTCATTGTACATGACCAAATGCCTGGAAACTTGCCGAAACAACAAGAATCGAGCTCACAGAATTCAATTGGTTTATACATGCGCCACAAAAACGATATTGGACCTTGGATATTGTAGTTACAATCAAACAGTGCGTCACCTCATATGCGTTCAAAAACGAAAGAATGGCTTTTAAAGGAGATATCCAACAGTAAAATTCAAACGAATTTTCCAAAACCCAATGGATTTGATATTGATTCGTGTTACGTAAACTACGATGTAAATATAATATACACTAATTCATATCATTTTAGGATGACTTGGCCATCCACAAAGACAAATTAAAAGAGTTACGCACCTGCATAAAAAAAGCTTTAACGACTAAAAAGCTAATCGGAGGACCTATAATTCTCTTGATTGGACCTACGGGCTCTGGTAAGACTATTGCTGTTGAAGTTCTTGCCCGTTCCGTCTTTGATAAAGTCAACGTTGTACAGTTTCTGGATGAAGGGATTGGTCACGATGAATATACAGAAATTGAGAAGTTTGTTCTATCTTCTGGAGTTTATGGTGGACAGTCAGTCATGTCTTCTGAGTCTGAAGAGTCACTGGAATGCGCCTCTCAAATCACAGTTATGATCCTAGAAGTTAGTGATTTTAATTTTAATATTATGGTGTGAAATTCACATTCATTGAAGCTGGTTTGGTTTTGATAGTCTATGGCGTTCTCAAAGTGTACAGCGTAACTTTTCCTTACATCAACACTGTCCTTTCCTTTCAACTCTATCCGTCTGCATTTCTTTACTTTTACCTTTTTATCTGTCTCCTACATTCAATTTATAACTCCCTGTTTATTCCACTCGTATTACCACTTTTTATCAGTGTTTTGTGCGTGTTTTTTTCATAGTAGCTTTGGTGTCCAATTATCTTGTTTTTTTTGCAAAGACTACGGACCAACTAATTTCCATTTAAGTTGGTTGTTTGGTTAATAATTTCCATCTACTCGTGATTGTATCACATATGTTTCTAAACTACGCAAGCACATAGTGATGTCAGGTATGCTGTTAAGGGATAATGAATAGTATTCATCTGTGCATTCTGTCTATGGCTAAAGAAGTTAACTCAATAAGGAGAGTTCGGTTCTAGTTATTTAATTCAAGTCTTTGTTTTTCTGAACTACTATGTGCTTTGATCAATAAAACCTTTAAGGAAATTTCCTATAGTATAACAATTCACCATAAGCATTTAGATTTAGTTCGTTTTCATTTAGTGTCGGCTAGCAAAACAATCTGACTCATTGTGACATCCAGTATCCTTTTTTATTTCTTTTAAGATGTTTAGTGGTTTTCAATGTAACTACGTTTTTGCTTTTAGAATCTTCCTGCCGTTGTTAGTGAGCATCCTTCTCGCTTTCATAATCTTCTTCGTCTTCACAGTACTCGTGCGTGTGCAAACTGCTTATTAGTTCTCATTTTGTCCTCTTCTACGTTCACTGAAAACGATTTATGTGAAAGGATTATTTGTCCTCCTACCTTATGCAGCGAATTACTTATACAGCGCATAGAATTCAATCCCATCGCACCAACTCTCATAATCAAAGCGTTAAGTAGAATTGGGAATATTATGGCTAAACAGGTGAGCCATATATATATAATGTATTTATGACCAAAACGTTTCATCCAAATGTCCAGTAGCTACTTTTTCGAACGTAAGTACCTGAAGAGTCAGGCAGTAATGTTATTCGACTCATAAAAGAAACCGTTCTAAGTAACGGTAGGTGAATGTTGGTTTATATACTTGATTTTTAGCCACACCTTGTTTTTAAATAAGGACTTGACTGCTCAAAACTAAGTTAATGGAGGACGATTCAAACTTGCAACTGAACGATCGGAGGTCGAATGCTTTGATCACTTAGCCACTGTTCCATCTGGATTGATCATTATCGACCATACTTAACGTTTTACTTAGTGAATAATCATCCATTTAATTTTCATGGAACTATCAAAATCCTCACTCTTAACACCTTCAAAATGTTTGTAAATTGGAGCAAAACTGCAAAACCTACAATTTCTAGGATAAAAACGGTTTTCCGTTGAAAAATAATAGTTCTATGAGATTGTTAACCTGGATTATTCAAGCTGATATGTGTATCGTATTTTTTTTAACACAAATATTCGTATAAAGAGGAACCGAATACGTATTCGCCACACAATTCACTTGATTTATGTGTGGGCTGTGATACTACCCGGATGTCCAGACAGAAGCACGTGGTTTTCTCAGGGGATCACACCCCGAGCTTTCACCCTGAAGTTTTGATCCACAAGTCAGTGAAGCAACGTTAGGAGAAGCAGTGAACAAGTGATGTGGTAAATAATAGTGGTAATGTGAATTGTCTGACTTTTAATAGGAGCGTGAATAGTATGTTCAATAGATATCGTCATTTCATTTATTTGTGTGTGGGCTGTGATGCTGCCCGGGTGCCCAGATGGAAAAACGTGGTTTTTTTAGGGGGCCACACCCCGAGCCTTCGACCTAAAGATCTAATCCATAAAGCAGTGGAGCATTATGAGGAGATGCAGTCCTATGGTAGCCAGTGACCAACAATTGGTTCATACTCCATTTGTTCCCTCAGGGTACTGAAGTCAGGGTTTTCCAACTCCCCTAGGTGGACTCGCTGTGTCCACCGGCTCGGTTAAAGCGCCGGACATACTTGTGTTCAAACTGAAAAGTGGATGTGTTCTGTGTATGTATTTCAAAACTTTTGGCAACTTTCAACTAGCTATTCAATGGTTAAATTGAATACTGATTACGGTATGGAGATGTGTTTCTAGCTTACTTTTACTTCTGTTAATCATATTACGGTTTTCAGTAATCTGGTAGTATAAAATCAGATTAATGTGCGATTTCTTTAAGTCAAGTAAAATGAATTATCTGGAAAGTAGTGTCATTATTTAAATTTAGATCGCTACGTACATCTTTTAATGATAGGCTTTTTTGCACTTTCATTTTTCCTAAATTACTATTATATTGATTGTGACTGGACGCTTATTTATTTATTTATTTAAACACATATATATTGGTACAAAAGGGCACCAGGTACATATGCGCCACACAAAATAATGAAAGTAGGAAGAGAAGGGATGAAAAGATAAGGCGGACTAAAATGTACAACCAGAAGACTCTTTCAAATAGGAAAGTAAGAACCATACTTTATGTAGAAAGTAAAAGAAGGTTGCAGCAGGATCGCCACTGGCTTCGATTCTGAGCCATATCTGATAACGTCTCTAGCCACTGTGTTGCACCATCTCTCGGACCCCAACCAAGGAGTCGTGAAGGACCAACAGAAGCTAGCCCTTTGCAGCTTTCTTTCATGCCACGACACCATGTCATACACTGACCTCCTCTCCGCTTTTTCCAACCAGTCCCAGGGTCGGCAAATAATGCACGACGTGGAAGTCTCTGGGACGACATTCGTAAAACATGTCCAAGCCACCGAAGTCGGTGTTTCAAGATGGTGACACCAATTGAATTATCGTCTCTGTGCCCGAACACACGATGCCGAACCTCTGCATTACTAACATGGTGTTGCCACTGTATGTCAGCAATCCTTCGGAGACAACGATGATCGAACACAGAGAGACGTCTAACATCCTCAACTCGGAGAGGCCAGGTTTCACAAGCATAGAGCAAAACTGCTCTCACCGACGCGTTGTAAATCCGACTTTTTACAGCCAGACTAACATCACGAAGGCGCCAAAGATGGCCCAGATTGGCAATAGCCGATCTGGCTTTCCTTATACGTGCATCAACCTCATCACTCACGCCACCACCAGCACTTATGTAGCTACCTAGATACACGAACTTCTCAACTACTTCGATCTCCTCACCATCCAGGGTGAGTACAGGATTAGAATCCTGCCAGTCTTGTAGAAGTACTTTGCACTTGGAGTGTGCAAAGCACATGCCATACCTGCGGACACTGATTGCCAACTGATTAAGTGCTGATTGCATGCCTTGGGCATTATCGCACAGTAAGACAATATCATCCGCATACTCAAGGTCGAGAAGTCGTTCTCCAGGCAACATATCCACACCGCCATTACTTACATCCATCAGAGCTGTTTCCAAGATGTCGTCGATGGCAAAGTTGAAGAGGAATGGTGAGATCGGGCAACCCTGTCTAACCCCACTGCTCGAATGGAACAAGGGAGAAAGGTGGTTGTATGCCCTCACTCTGCCTGAGGTGTTCGTATATAGGGCCTTTAAGATGTTAATGAACTTCTCAGGCACACCCTTCTTCAATAGACAATCCCAGAGAACAGTCCTGTCCAACGAATCGAAGGCAGCCCTGATATCAAGAAACACTACGATTGTTGGCCTGCGATAAGTATGACGGTGTTCTAACATTTGGCGGAGGGTGAAGATGTGATCAATGCATCCTCGACCAGAACGAAAACCAGCCTGCTTCTGGCGAGTCAATCGTTCTCGGGTTTTAAACAACCTACGAAGAATGATAGAAGCCAATAGTTTGGACGCAATCGGAAGTAGACTTATCCCCCGATAGTTATTGCAGGAACAACGCGAACCCTTTTTAAAGATAGGGACGACTATTGACTCATTCCATGATGTTGGAACACTTTCTTGCTCCCAAACCTTTCCAAACAACACAGTCAATTCCTTAGTCAGAAAGTCGCCACCATCTTTAAAAAGAGCCGGAGGTAAGTCATCTGGGCCCGGTGATTTGTAGCGTTTCAAGAGTTGGAGTTCCTTGCGGACTTCCGCCTCGTTTGGTGGATCAGTCGTCACCGGCCATGGGGGGCAGGACAAGCTGGTTGATGTTGCCGGAGCAGCAGGCCAGTTGAACTGCCCTTCAAAGAATTCCGCCCATCGTCCAAGACGTCGGGAGATGTTAGTGATTGGCATCCCATCATCCTCGTAGATTGTTTCACTCACACCAGACTTCTTGCTGCCAGTGGCTCGGATGAGTTGGAAGAGCTTCCGGCAGTTACCAGATGCAGCTGCTGCTTCCTTCTCATTAGCACGCTCCGACCACCAGGCTTCCCGGTCCTTACGCAAGCTTTGCCCAATTTCATTACGTAACAGCCTTCGTTTGTGGTCAAACTCACGGTCACCCGGAGTAGACCGACGGGCTTCCATCAGTTGTAAGGAGCCAGAGGAAACCCAGTGCTTGTAAGCGGGACGTTTCGCGAAGCCGCAAGCGGCTTTACTCGCCATTTTCATGGCGTCGTGAAGATGCAACCAATGCTCATCTATACTTTTCGGTGGGGTGTTAGCTAGCCTAGAGGCTAGCTCCGCTCGATACTTACTTGCAACAGGAGTTGCAGCCAGTTTACTAACATCGATCCGTTGGTGGTGGTCAATCCTTCGGCCACTGAAAAGTAAGGTGAGATTGGCGCAGACCAGGGCATGATCAGATTCCAGATAGGTACTCCAAAAGGAGCGGAAGTCTTGTACACAACCACGCCAGCGGTAGCTGATCGCGATGTGATCAATCTGAGTCCAGGCTTGGGATGCAGAGGGAGGACGCCAGGTGGCACACCGGCGATGACTGTGCCGGAAGTTAGTGCTGGCCAGAAACAGGTTGTGGTCTGTGCACAGTTGCAGCAAACGGTCCCTGTTATCTGTCCTGCGACCAACAAGTCCCCATCGGCCACCTAAACGACTCTCTTCTGTGCCTAGACGCCCGACCTGTGCATTCAAGTCTCCGGCTAGTACTACAATATCTGTCGAACGCGCTTTCTGGAGAAGAACTGTTAACTGATGGTAAAACTCATCCTTGATTGCATCCGGGCTGCAATCTGTCGGGGCATAGGCGGAGATGACGAAAAGACACCGTTTCTCACGCCGGTTTCTTCTCACTTTGATGGAACTTTCTAATCTAACAGCACATAACCGACTGTTAATGGGGAACCAATCGATTAGTGCTGCCTCAGCCCTAGCGCTTAGTGCGACACCAACGCCAGCAAGACCAGACGAAGATGCCACAGGGTCCCCGGATAAGCGCACGTGGAACAAGCTTTTCGAGGAGACAGATGGAGAGCGGATTTGTAGTACTTCACTAGAGTCTTGAATACGGGTCTCGGATAGACAGCAAACATCAACATTAAGTCCTTCCAAAGACATAGCCAGCCCTATCTGTTGTCTGATCTGCATTAGTGTGCGAACGTTGAAGGAAGCCAGCTTGAACGGCGTACGTGGTTTCAGAAAGACTGCCTCAGTATTCATTATCGGTGGAAGCATTCACTTTCAACCAGACAGTGACTGGAGATCGTTTAGATAGGACAGATTTTCCACCATGGGCGAGCTGCTGCATAAGTTGAAGAGTAAGGTTACACAAATTTGGGGTAAAAGGGGGTGAATTAGCGATATGGTAAGTAATAATAATAATAATAATAATAATAATAATAATAATAATAATAATAATAATAATAACGTAAATTGTCTTGCTTATAATATGAGCAGGAATAGAATCGTCAATAGAGTTCGTCATTTCATTCATTTGTGTGTGGGCTGTGATACTGCCCAGGTTCCCAGACTGAAGCAGGTGGTTTTCTTAGGGGGCCACACCCGGAGCCTTTGACCTAAAGGTCTGATCCACAAGGCAGTGGAGCATCGTGAGGAGATGCAGTCCCATGGTAGTCGTTGACCAATGACAGGTTCTTCCGCCATTCGTTCCATCAGGAAACTGGAGCCCATGTGCACCATTGGTTTGGAATCAGGGTTTTCCAACTCCCCTAGGTGGACCCTCCGTGTCCACCAATCCGGTTATAGCGCCGGACATTCGCTTTTCGTCCTCTCACTTTCTTAAACAACACCCCCGCCACGAGAAGGCAGTGAGTAGGACTTCCCTGGCAGAGGCTATATATTCGCTGGCCATATGAGAGCATTTCGAGAGGGAGAGTAGACTCTCCCCACTCTCGGCCGTACCAGGGCATTTGGGGGACGCTTGAGTACAAATCATTTTGGACCTTTATTAAATGACCTTTCTAATTTATAAATAACACAATGTTGAAGTATATATGTCGTAACAGATGCAAATGTTCACCATTTTTAACATATAACATTGCCAAATTCATTAATACATACCTCGTTTTGGCCTTTGTAAAATATCATAATTATGGACTTATAACTGTAAAGCCTGATGATGAAGTTATTGAAAACAATTGTTCGCTCAAATTTTGTTCATTTTTGAATAGGCTTAAGAGTTAGAGTTTTAGATTAAAAGTGAATTTGTCAGGCTTTAATAGAGTTAAGCAATAACACTTAACTAAATCTGCTGAGACAACTCAAAATTACTATCATCTCATTCATCACGTTGAATTATCTAGCCAGGTTTTACAAAATGATAAGTCAGAATGAAAGGTAAATTAACTGCTTCCGTTCGCATACATAAAATAATTGTACAGACATTTTATATTCTAATTAGAAAGTTTTTGTCAGTTGATATAATTATATATATGTCACTACTGTAGTGTAGACGAATAAAAGATCATTTGGATTTTATTTTTAAAAAACGGCGACTGGTAAGGTTTAGTTTAACAACATGTTTTATTCTGATCAACGCCTTTGTTCAGCTCTCTTTTACATCAACCACTAGAGTACTCTGAGGTAAGGTTTGGACTAAAGTGTTTTGTACATATATACGTTATACCTGTAGCAAAAGTCAAATATCTTTGTGTCTCATAAACTTCGTCTCTGTAGTAAATTTAGAAAAATCTAGAACAGTTAAAATATTATCGTAATTCCACTTTTAACTTGGTTATGTACTTTAAACTAAACTATTTGCCGCCGATGTATGATTATGGAATAAGATGAATTGGTACCGATTCATACGACTCGTTGTTTTGGTTTCACATAAACTGGTACTTGGTTATTTTCCACTACGAATATACAAATTCATTTTACATACTAGTGCTTTGTAAATAAATGCTATGTTCGGTTTCTTTTGATAGTTTGGTTTAAAACTACCGTCTCGTCAATTACTGCAATCTATAGCGAATGACTGTTCTGGGGATATTCGATCTGCTGTTAATCAGCTTCATTTTCAGCTTTCTTCAGGTACGTTTATCACCAATTGTAATATGATCTTAGTTTTCACACATTTGTGTCATACACTCTTTAGCATTTGAAGCAGTAAAGATGCCAATTTTTACTCCTTGTATACATAAGCGTATAGAAAGTATCTTTCTTTGTTATAATCTTTCGATGAATATTGAAGTAAAACGAATATCCAGTTTATAAAAATAAATTCTTTATGACCTATGAGTTATTTCTGTATTACTGTATTTAGAAGTTGTGTATGGTGAGACTTACAAATTGAGTTGCCAAAACAGCAGTTGAAGCAGAGTAATATGAATTCACTTTATTTCGTGGTAAGTAACTGAAGCATGTTGTTCAGCCTCAACTATTGTTTTTGCTGTATTCACAAAGGGAATCAACCAATCGTATGAAACTTGCGTTGTTTTGAATGTTTTCACAATATTTTCAGTTTGTAGTCACAATTTCTTCCGTTTGACTACTGCAACAGCCATGAAATTCCTTTAAAGTACAATAGCAAGGATAAAATGTTTCCGGTCTGAGTTCATTTACATATCATTTGTGCGTGGAATAAAAGCTTTCATTTTTGTTTCTTAATTAGGCGTAGCTTCTGTAAAATAGTCGAAAAGCCTTATCTATCTCAATAGTAATAAAAATATCTTTATAATGGTGGAAATATTTGATCAGTTAGTGTTTAATTCGTAAATTATTGAAACTGGAGTATTTATTATTAGTTATCTTGTATAATCATGTTAACTCTTGAATGGCTTTTTTAGCTGTTTTGCAATTAAATTTTCTACATATGTAGTTTCACAGTTAATATAATATTACCTGAGTTTGTGTATGTGGAGGTTTGTTGAGTCAAATGATTTTCACCAACTTACATACCAAAACAATAGTAGGCAACTCAATAACCAAGCATAGGTACATATAACTGAGTTTTCAGTTACTTTTGATTTAGGTTAGTGTGTTACCTCCTGGGAATGTTTTCTTTATTAAGCTATCATCCCACCAAAGTTATTAATAATGGACTATTGGAGTTTTCAACTATATGAGGTTGTATGTAATCTTATTCGCCGTCAATGAATACGGTGGTCTTGAGTGCTGTTAGGGGTATGAGGGCAGTTATCACTTCCCGGTTGCCCACACCGTGGAAGGGTTCTCCTGGGGGTACCTGAAAAGGAAATTGGGTTAGAAGTGGTCTTAATGACCTGAGAGCGTGACCGCAGTGCCCAAGGTCAACTGCTTGAGGTCGGTCACACACGACCTTTTTGTGGGTAGTTTTTGTGTTAGCTCCGTTCTTCAAAAAAAACCTTACCGCCGGAGACGGATATCCGTGGGATAAGGCGAGGTGTGCATTTTTAGGGCCGACCATTTCTAACCCCACCCCTCCTTGTGGGAAGGCAGCATCGCTGTCATGCTGGTTGTCTGAAGGAAACACCTTACTGCCGTCACACCTCTGTACAGTCGACAGTACGACTTCGCCTTCGGACCTTGGGTTTGCTGCTTTTAGTCTCACCGCTCTTCAACCGACCTGTCTGGCATGGTAGGACCTTGAAGAACGATTGTTCCAGCCAGCATAGCTCGATTGCTTCATCACGATAGGCAAGCCCGACCACCACGTCAAGGTAGCAGCAACAGTCGGGAAAATGCAGAGTCTTCTGTTGGAACTCAGTAATAATGCCAGGATGTTTGGGATGCGATTCTCCCCATCCAAATATAAATTGTTACTCCAGGACTGGCCTGCATCAACACCTGAACTAAGGATAGGGAGTGAAGTAGTCGAACGCGTCGACAACTTTACTTATCTTGGAAGTTTGACCAGCCCTAATGGGTTGGTGTCTGACGAAATCTCAGCACGGATTCGAAAAGCTCGTTTGGCTTTTGCCAACTTACGTCACCTATTGCGAAGACGAGATATCCGTCTATCAATTAAAGGACGAGTATACTGCGCAGCAGTTCTCTCTGTTCTACTTTATGGCTGTGAAACATGGCCATTAAGAGTAGAAGATACTCGTAGGTTACTAGTATTTGACCACAGATGCCTTAGAAATATTGCTCGCATCTGCTGGGATCACCGGGTAAGTAATAGTGAGGTTAGATGCAGGATATTAGGGAACGATGGTAAATCAGTTGATCAGGTGATGAATCTTCATCGACTGAGATGGTTGGGCCATGTGTTACGTATGCCTGAACACCGATTACCACGACGCGCTATGATGACTAGTGTAGGGGATTGTTGGAAGAGAGTTAGGGGCGGCCAAACCAAAACATGGCATCAGTGTTTGAAGTCACTAACTTCTAGTCTGAGCCATGTTGACAGATGCAGACTACCTGGTTGGGGTCCGCGTGACTATCGTAACCAATGGTTGGAGACTCTAGGTGACATGGCTCAGAATCGATCACAATGGCGTAGGTGTATACACTCTTTATCTTCCTTTAAACCTTGAGACTAAAATTGCTTCATATCTCTCTTCCTTCCTATACTATAACCTTATATACAACCTATAATTTATATACTACTACCACCACTAAATTAATTACTTCTATGAATCCGGTGTTGATCTTGTTGTGCTAACGAGGTATGGCAACTTGGACCGATGCATAAATGTGCCTGGTCCTACGTTGTAGCTGACTGACTGACTATTCACCGTCAAACCTAAATGTCAGGTTCCTTCTTGTATGGTTTCTTACAGATAGGAAGTACAACACAACTGTTTACTATTTCCAGATTGTTTATTGTTTTCCATGGGATGAAAGCTATTTTAAAATAACATTACTTCGTTATTCGTGACGAATAAATGTGCCTCGAATTTATATAAAATGAGTAAAAATTATTAATGATTATAAGAAAAGCTGTTTATGAAGGCGTTCTCTTTTTCCCACTTATTTACTTTGGGATGCAGCTTATGTTACGTATCAAGTTTTACTAAACAATAATCAAAAACTGTGGATCAGTGAATAACTTTTATCATAGTTTATAAATTTTAAGCAATACATACCCGTACGCTTGTAGTATCAGTTTATATGTTAAGCCCATATACTTTATTCTAGCTTCTGGTCAAGCTAATTCACTTATACATTATGAGTCATATTTTGATCTTGTTAATTATTCGCTTATTAACCTTGAGTACTTTTTTATATGAGGTATGTGTAAGCACACTTCGTACCTTATTCATCATATGTCTGTCATTCATTTTTGTCTGGCTATAAATGTCGATTAACGCTTGCTTAAAATGAGTTGGCTTTCCCGCCATTTCCAATACGCATCACTTTTGCTTCACTCTCGAGTTGGCTCAACAACCATCTCCAATGCTTCTTATTTATGCTTCGCTCACTTACATTTGCTCATGTGCTTACAACTTTCTGGTCTGCATCATTCATCAATAAAAATGTAGTTGCCGCTTCCTTTTGCCTTCTGATTTTATACACCGTTAAGATTGGTATAATAACGGTTATCGAAGTGAACTATTAATGAAGCACGGCACTAAACGCTTATTATTCGCAATACTAATGGGGATACTTTTGATCCATTTTTATTTTTTGTTACAGATAGAGGGAATTGGAATAATTATACACTGCCATATTCTCATCGAGATGGAGTTTTATCACTATTTCGTACTATAGGTAAAATTCTCTATTGTAAAAGTAAGTTAAAATAGACTTTTATATAGTCCATTTTTGTGTTGCTTGTTTGAATCTTACCATAAATGTTTAGGAATGTGATTGTTTAACAGGTGTATCCAGCTGACTAGTCCCAAGCAGAACGAAATGCGCTTCCTGGATTCCACTGCTAGCCACCATCCATCTATGCCCATGATGCTTTTATATTGTTTTTCAACAGCAAGAAAGAAAATCATTTTTGTAAAGATTTTTATCATACTTAATAATTGAAAGCGTTTTTTCCACAGTTTTACTGGCACTTGAATAATTCGAATAATCTTCATGGAAAGGTATAATTTTAATGAATGTAAATATTTAGTTTCTTTCATTTATTTATGTATTGTTTTGTTGTTCGTTCAGTTACAATAAAGGTAGTTTAAAAGTGTTGTCTGTATATTTTGTACTAATAAATGAAGTGATCCAGTATAGGCTTGATTGAAATTGGCAATATATATATATATATATATATATATATATATATATATATATATGACCTTAGTATATGCATTATACATAATGTTTTTCATGATTATCTTGGTTCAATTGAAATCGCACCGTTTGCGCTGATGATGTCGTTTTCTGCTCTCTCAGGAACTGTAGTTTTTAAGTTTTGGATTTTGTTCATTCATTCGTTCACCAGTCAGTCAGTCGTATTTCAAACTGGTTCTATGTTTGATCTGAGTATATTAAGTTTATGAATTAAATATATGATTCGTCAATTTACATGTTAGTTGATATGACGTAAAATCATAGGAATACCTCCTAATTACTCTTTGATACCAGGATACCCCAACTCCATTTACTTTCCTATAGATCAAAGAAGATTTACTCACATTTGAATTCACTCAATGCATATACTGATTAAGGTAAGGAAATAGCCACAATAAACGGAAAACAACCCTAGTTTAACTAATACAAACGAAAGTTGCACTGAGTTGATACGAAAGTCATATTAGCGCGGATCACAGTAAATCAATACATAGCCTTCCACTTGATTTATCCTCAGTAAATTGTGTTCAAGGATTTAACATCCCCAACACGTGTGAGTTAATTATTTTATCCTGAGTTTTCGATTTCTTCTAAATTTGGTCAGTAGGTGTTACCTGTGTTAACTGACATGTATGTATACCGACCCAGTTTGCTACAATTCACATCAACACGACCTGAGATGAAAGTAATGGAGGAAGAGAAATGATTTCAAATGCAATGGCAAGTTCAACATGGAAAATTTGGTTCAATGGGAGGAAAAAATCTTCGGTTAATGTTGAACTACTTGGTTAACAACTGTGAAATATGTAAAACAAATTTTTATCTCACCGTCGAATTTCGTCTTGGTTAAAACGTGATGAATTATCCCACACTTATTTCTAATTATTGCGTTTTTTCAATTCGATTCATGATGTTATGTTATGGTAATGTTTTTATCCAATGATTTTTTGCCTGTTTTCCTCTTTTCCCAGGAAAGCCAGTAAGCAATGAACAAATTGCATCAAGCTTGAATAAAAAGGAAGGTGAATTACCATCACATTTAGTAACGTGGAGGCGACCTCCACTTGACTTTGATCTTGAGGTAATCACCTACTTATTAACATATTTGACTATTAGTTCATAATTAGGTTCCCATAGTATGAGCAGGTTCACCATCCTATTTTGACATATCAGTATACTTTCATTGAAATCACAAACCGATCGAAGTTGGACCATCATTGGAAACCTGTAAACGATGGTCCGCCATCTCGTCCTAGAATGGGAATCCTCAGCAGTGTGTATCCACGGCTTCGCACGCAAGAATCAAACCTAGAATCTTTGGTCTCGTGCACTAACGATTGACCTCCAGACCAGTGAGTTGGCATTCGACGCTGTTAATGTATAATTCCAATCAATCCACGATATTGCGTGACAATCTCCTATAGTCTTCGGTGGGTAACTGCCTCACATCTGATAAGGAATAGCTTCTCACTAGGACTCTTGGAATTTCTTTTCGAAGCTAGTCATTAGTGAGCAAACGATAATTGTTGGTAAGGCGTTGTGGAGATTGTTGAGTTTCACTGAAACTATATCCAATTACTTGGTCGATTTTTAAAACTGACTAATGGCCAAGTTAGTTTTTGTTGTTCTCATAAGTACTAAATCAAGATATACCAATAATAGCCAACAAAATCATTTGATGTTCAACTTATCCACGTTGGAAGGTGTGGTCTTTTTAGTCTGATATTTTGAGATAATAATAAACTGTAGTTAAAAACCGTAGGTGGGGTTGACACAAATGTGATTTCTCTTCTTTTTCTCGTATATCTTAAGCTCACTAGTATTATTTCATATTAGTTATCTCTAGATGTTATTTGTACCCTTCGAAACACATTTTTTTATCAAACAAATAATCCAAGTTAGGCCATAAGTTTATTTTACAGTATATAGAGCAAATCAATCTACTTCCCTCCAAAATGCTCCCTATTTGTGGCAGTATACGTGTTCCATCTCTGTTTCCATTGGTTTCCAAGTCCCCAGAAGTCAGGATCCTAAGCTAGCTAACCGTTTAACAATTTATCGTCTCCACAGAACTATTTTACATTCTGTTAATGAAAATTTTTTTCGTGAGACTGACTTTTATAAGTAAGATGGTTAGTTGATCTGGTGCCCTAACAATCTGCTGATATCCACGCATTCTGTCACCTATTTACCGAATAAGCCGTGTATCTATGGTGTAGCTTTTTGTGATTGTTGATTTGACTTACGCTCATCTTGTTAGTTCCATCTCCTGGTGTGCTGACTAAAAATTAAAAAGAAATTGGTAGGATACAACACATTTGTTCTAGACTGTAAGTTATTTATGACTGACTAAATAAGGAAACATGCAGTCTCATGCATTCGGCTTCATTTGAAATATTGTTCAAACTAGGAGCTAAACAGAAGCACAAAGTGTATGGTACATTAACAGTATGTTTTTTTGACAAATGGTGGATAATATGGTGATGCAACCAAAATAGCTATCCCTAAAACTCTACTGTAGTGTAACAACAAGATATTAGATAATTTACTGGTGCTTTTTACATTTATGTTACAATACTCACGAATGGTCATAATCCCACTCACTGTATACAGAATTTTTTCAAAATGGTTTTACTTACTTACTTACTTACTCCATTCAACTCTGTCCTGAGCCTTCCTTTCCAGTTCTTTCCAGTTACTATTCAGCCTTTTCATATCGGCTTCTATTTCCCGGCGTAGTGTGTTCTTTGCCCTTCCTCTTTTCCGCTTCCCTTCCGGATTCCAAGTTAGGGATTAAGTCGTGATGCACATTGGTGATTTCCTTAATGTATGTCCGATCCACTTCCAACGTCTTTTCCTAATTTCCTCTTCAGCTGGAAGCTGGTTTGTCCTCTCCCATAAAACGCTGTTGCTGATAGTATCCGACCAATGAATATTGAGTATTTTGCGTAGGCAACTGTTTATAAATACTTGTACCTTCCTGATGATGGCCGTAGTAGTTCTCCACGTTTCAGCTCCATACAGTAGGACTGTCTTGACGTTCGTATTGAAGATTCTGACCTTGAAATTAGTTGAGAGTTGTTTTGAGTTTCATATGTTCTTCAATTGTAGAAATGCTGCCCTTGCTTTGCCAATCCTCGCCTTTACATCTGCATCCGATCCTCCTTGTTTATCAACGATGCTCCCTAGGTACTTGAATGTTTCCACCTCTTCCAGAGTTTCGCCGTCAAGTGTGATTGGGTCGGTGTTCTCCGTGTTGCATTTGAGAATCTTGCTTTTTCCTTTGTGAATGTGGAGGCCTATCGATGCAGAGGCTGCTGCTACATTTGCTGTCTTCATTTGCATTCGGTCGTGTGTATGAGAGAGGAGGGCTAGGTCATCTGCGAAGTCCAAATCATCTAATTGATTCTGAGCTGTCCATTGTATTCCGTATTTCCCTCCAGATGTCGAATTCTTCATAATCCAGTCAATCACTAGACGGAAGAGGAATGGGGAGAGTAGACAGCCTTGTCTGACTCCGGTCCTTACTGGAAATGCACCACTTTGCACTGTAATCCATCGTATGAGTTTTGGATAATGTTGACAATCTTTTCAGGAACTCAGCACTTAGCTATGATTGATTGCAGCCTTTCATAGAACTGTTCTTTATCATCGTCGTTGCTATCATTGGTGGGTGCATAACATTGGATAACGTTCATTGTGATCCCTTGCTTCTTTGTTCTGAATGATGCTTTGATTATCCTGGGTCCATGAGATTCTCATCCCAAAAGTGCATTTCTTGCTTCTTTGGACAGCATTAGAGCAACTCCCTGAGTGTGTGGAGCGTTTTCCCCTTCGTGACCGGAGTACAACAGTATCTCTCCTGTACCTAGCCTTTGTTGTCCAGTTTGTGTCCAATGGGTTTCGCTGATTCCGAGTACTGCCAAGTTGTATCTCCTCATTTCCATTGCTATTTGGCTGGTCTTTCCTGTCTCCCACATTGTCCGGACGTTCCATGTACCTATAAAGAGTGTTGCTCTGGTTGTTAGAAGGTGCATCGGTCTCGTGACTTCCAAAGAATTTCGGCTTTCATCATGAGACGTCATTATTCCTTCAACTCCCAGAGCAGAGTTTAAATGATTTGTATTATTTTTTCTGGTTAGCGTTTTTTTAGCGAGTTAGCTTTTCTACGGGATGGGGTCGCTAACCCCATGCCCAACCCTCCTCCTTTACCCGGGCTTGAGACCGGTAGTAACTCTAGAAGAGCTACAGGCGGAGTTCAAAATGGTTTTAAAAGCTTTTAAATTATTATGTAAATGCTCTTATCCTAATGTTATTTCAGTTGGTATTTATTTGGACGTGGAAACTTCCGTGATCTACTAATGATCTTCAGTACCAATTTAGAGTGCATATTATCCTTCGACACTTTCTTCCTAGTTGTGATGCTGACCGATTTTATTTGTGGTAACATTTTCTCAAACAGTATACTCCAAGCAATCCTGCTTTAGTAAAAAGGACTATTACTGTGGAAATAGTATGCTATCAAATGTTTCGTATATTTTGTCAGTGTTTCGAGATTATAAAATATATATATATATATATATATATATATATTAGTTAACGCAATTCTCCCTATATTATGTTTCGTATTGTTGTTCTTGTCCTAGGAGATACTGGATTTATGTCATACAGACGGTGGACACATTGTCTCATGGCTTCATGAAAACTATCCTGACTTTTCCCCGAATATGACTGCATTGGAACTAGTTTCACAACAGTTTAGTTGTGCTGATGCATTTCTAACTGGTGGAATGAATTGGCAACTTGGTTTAACACCAGCTTCAGATTCTTTTGTTTCGCGAAAATTTAAGCGACCATATAACGTTGCAAGTAAATACTATCCAGCTTTGACTACAGCACGAACAATTCTTCTAGCAGATGGAGTTGAAGATGTATCAGGTAGTGATTTTTCTAGAAATATCAAAGCATTTCGTTCTTTCCGTCCACCTTCGACTTTAAATAGCTGGAAATTATGCAAGCAGAAGCTTGATACATTAGATGACATTTTCTTAACTTCTAATTCGTTATCACCGATTTGGCTGGTTGAACATATGATTACAAGTCGTATTGATATGGTTTTGGATTATTTACCTATCATGTGGAAAGTCCTTGGAGAAGAATGGTTTTCTCAATTCAGTAAGCTTGTTTTAACTTCTGTCACTTTACTTGCTATCCGGATAACGTTTTTTGGATGTATACCACTTTATCATTATGAAGTTTGTCAAATTATGTGCAACTCAGCATATTCCAAGACCACCATATAACTAGACTCCAGATCCTTCTGGTTTTTGTTCGCTGATGCATTATGGTTCTGTTATCCCTGAAGTCAGATAAAAATTATCGCCACTGTTATTATTATATGTGCTTTTCTCTGTATTTCGGTATTTCTTCAATTGATCATAATCTACTGTCATGCATCCCGACTACCCTCCCCTTCCTTCACCATTTTATGTGTTTTCTAATGTTGACCAGCCTACTATATAAAAGCCACTTGACTATGAGAGTATCTGTGATGGTACTGTATAGATCTAACTATCTAGTTTTCAATTCACTTGCTATACTGTTATTGTGGGCAATTTTCAATAAAGCTGTATATAACTGCTTTTTCCCTTCCTATTCAGATCTATGGGCGTTTACATTTATTTTGCTAGAGATCAGCTCATAAAGATGCGTTATGTATTACCTATTACACTATGATAGATTTATTGCGTTCAAAACCCCCCAAATCTTTTTATCAGTTGACAACTTCAGTGTTGTATTTGAATCTTTTAAAACTAATCATCATTGTGAAATTTTTTTGCCCCCAAATATCCTGGTACGGCCGAGAGTGGGGAGAGTCCGCTCTCCCTCTCGAAATGCTCTCATACGGCCACGCCGGGGTGTTGTTTACGAAATTGAGAGGACGAAAAGTTAATATTTGGCTCTTTAACCGGGTTGGTATACACCGAAAGTCCACCTAGGGTAGTTGGAAAACCCCCATTTCAAACCAATGGTGCACATGGGCTCCAGTATCCTGAGGGAACAAATGACGTATGAATCAATTGTTGGTCACCGACTACCATGGGACTACATCCTACGATGCTCCACTGCCTTATGGATCAGATCTTTAGGTCAAAGGCTCCAGATGTGGTCCCCTAAGAAAACCACCTGCTTCGGTTTGGGCAGCTGGGCAGTATCACAACCCTCATACAAATCAAATAAGATTTGTGTGGTACATATATATCTGGTGCCCCTTCGTACCAATATTTATGTGTTCAAATAACTAAATAAAATAATCATCATTTAATTGAACATTTAACTTCTTGTGTTCGATATCCATTATCTAGTTTAATTTAATTGACGTTATCATGTTCAAATAATTATTCACTGTTTGTTTTTATAAAAAAATTTCCATTACCTTAATCTGTTTTGTTTTATTTCTTCAATGTATTACTATTATTATTATTATTTCAGGTAGTTATGAAATGATTACATCATTGTGTAATTTTTCTCATAAAGTAGTTGGACATAATTCTTCTTTATGTACTTCAAGTAATTCACATCATATTAACAAGTATCATGCTAATAATGATAATAATATTAATGGTAATGATGAGAATATTGATTGGTATTGTCCACTGGATGCTGTTCACGAAGGAAATAACTATGATATTAATGAAAATTTTTCAGATGAAGAAAATATCCGAGTAGCATGAATATATATATATATATATATATATATATATATATATATATATATATATATATATGTATGTATATATATATATATGAAAAGGATTTGGTACTTTCAGCAATACTAACTTTCTTGGATGCATTTATTCCGGTTTTTATAACATTTTTCTATTAGAAGATTATTGTTGTTGTTTACTTTTTTTTTCTTTTTATATTGAACTATTTTTCATATAAATTACTTTTGAGATTTTTTATTTTAACTCTAATTTATTTGGGAAATATGTTAATGAAATTCATTCAATTCGTTTTTATAAAATCTTATTTTCTTATTATCATCTTCTATGACTAATATGTATAGTTCATCAATTCAGTAAGTTATACATTTAGAAACTTGGTTATAACATAGAAGATTGATGTGTTATATCGGTTGAATGCGTTCTTACCCAGTTAATATATATGACATGATAAGACCGCCAGTTGTTATTTGGATTTAGTGCGTGCCCTGTTTATATATGAACGGGCTGATTCCCGCTAATCAGAGAGGAGTGATTTATCGATCGAATCAATGATACACAAAGGCCGTATGAGCATTCTTGAGTACTTATTAGTCCTGCTATCTGCCTAGCCCAACCAGTTAAGTCCAGAACACTAATAACAGGCTCTGCAATATAAATCATGATTCTCAAACATACTGGGTTTATATACCGAACAAACTGACCATATCGTACCATAAAATAGAAAATAACATTTGTACAAGATTTGGCCAAATGTGGCTGTGAATTGGGGGCAACAGTAATCAATAGACTGGGGATAATTCAAGAATGGTAAATCGTATAATAATAGTCTATGGGTCAAAATGTAACATAATAAGAGGGACACGAATGTGAATACTTTAGTCACTTAACAATTATATAATAGGAAATATACATATCCTATTGGTCCATAAATAGTCCTTAAAGTTACCATTCATAATTCTCCACGAGATATGTTTTGCTGATTGAACGCTATATTCGGATCCTAAACGATTCTCGTAACCCCCTAGCTATAACTACCCAGCGACTTGAACACGTGAGAAAAGGCACATAACATACGAGAAGCACTTTACTCTAAAGGTTCATCTATGTACAGAAAATATAGGGTTTTTATAGTATTTTAGATGTCCTTGGGTTTCCTTGAAAATTCTAGAATACTATTAAACATAGTAGCAGTGTAGTAATCAGCCAATCAGAACCTCTACATGTGACTTCATTTTCCTGATATTTCTAGCAAAACTTCTAATCGAACGCTGGTTGGATGAAATGCTTCTTAATATTTCCTGAGCTTGTCATGTCTATCGCGAGAAATTTTCAGGATCATGCCAACGTGATGTACTATCTAAATGTCAAAAAATTGGAACTGTTTGATTGATAAATCTTCAAATTTGTGATTTATTAGTTGAAAGTTGTTTACTTAGAACGATCAATAACAATTTTATTTACTGTTCAGATTAATAGATCTATTTAAGTTTAATACACTAATGTACAGTGTTCAACAGCTTGTATTTAATTTTAATTTGATATGTGAGTTCTTGCAACCAGTGTCTACTACAGAATACAAAATACCGGTATTGATATCCAGTAGAAGAGGTCAAAGGAGTTAAGAGTGAAAGGTCTGGAAAACATAGTGAGATATTATAGTGGTGATTGATAAACGATGCGCTACAATTATTTATAAGTTATATTTATCAACATCTATTGACAAAAAAATAAACTAGTTTTTATGTGGAAGGTGAGAAATCTGACTAACGGAAATCTAAGCGAACTTATCAAAGAATTGGTGAATTCCAAGTCATTATGAATAACGAATAATATTCAATTGATCTCATTTCATTCAAATCTTCAGCATCCCAAATAATGTTTTCTCTTTATCACTTCAATCAAAGTATGAAAGCTTACTAGAGTCTCAACCTTTTCCCCATTAATTAAAAAGTCTACAAGCATTCGTTTGTAGTAACATCGGATTCATTAAAGTATTTTACTATCTAGCCTATTATCTTAGAAGTTTACTGTAGTACATATTGGTCTTCAGGCTTGTGATCTCAGTGTTCTCATTGATTGGTAAATCGGATTTTTGTTGAAATGTTTGTCAATAACTGGATGATAAGTATCTAAAAATGCTTCGATCTTAATGTTTATTGTACTGTAGTGTCGGTCGCTGTGTCAAGGCCAATTTATTCATCCTTCTTGAGTCACATTTTGACCTTGTTAATTATTCGCTTATCGACCCTGACTGTTTTTATTTCAGCGTATGTGTTTTGTGTACATTTCTTATCCCATTCATCACATAACCGTAACTTATTTTCATCTGGCTATAAGTATTGATTAAATGGAGTTAGCTTACAAGCCTTCACCGCATGTCATCTCGCTTCGTCCCTTTGATTGACTGTCCGGATCAGTGAGTGTACAAAATATATGTATTCGAAATCCATTTTTTTATTTGACTTATTTCATTTCGTTATACACTAACGCGGATTAAGTCACGTATTACATACAAGGATAGACAGGATGTATATTTTGGCAACATTCATTCATATGATCTAATTAGAGTCAGATGTAGGGCCACAAAAGCACTATATTTCATGTCCACACGAGTGAATATAAGAGTAAATGTTCTGGAAATTCTATGTGACTTCAAATATCCTACGTATACGATTAGGTTGGTGCTTACCAGTCATCTATCCTGGATGCACGTAATGTTGACAGTAAGAAGAGTAAATTCATGAAGCTAAATGTTTATGTGAACGTAGCATCACCTTACCTTTAGTCTAGTAGTAGGTTCACAAGTTGTAAGAGTAGTTTTTTGCTAGAGATTACTTCGTGATTAGTAATACTTGTAGCAGTACCTCATCAGTTTCTTTACCAGTTTTCTTAAATAGTAGGATTCTTATTGTGCTTGGAACGGCTAAATGAATTCATTGTTCCTTAAATAGATGAGGTGCTTCAAAGTCTAGAGCAATACTCTCTGAGTGTAGTTGAAAACCTCATTCCATAGCAGTTGCGAAATGAAGGTACCATAAACAAATTGTAAATAAACAATAATTTACTGACCGTTAATGGGAATTCTATTTATTGATCTATGATTGTGTGGTTAAATAAATATACCAGTAGTTTGATAAGCTCCCACTTTATTTGGTTAGAATATAATATTTGACAACTTAATAACCTACTTTAAATTACTTGTTAAGACAAGAGTATATATATAAATCATAACTTACATTATCAATCTGAAGTTATAATCCATTGAGAAATGAATGTCATCCCATGAAAATACCAGCTAACTGTAACGTTGTTCAGTTCATATCTGTTAATAACAGACATTCTCTACATGTGTTTCTTAAACAAACTTACTTAGTTTTTGGTCTGATTCATGAGATTTATTTTCTCACCAAGTAAATAGAAACGACAGTTTGATTCAGCTACAACATGGTGATTCTACACACAATGATAAAGGCAAATTACACTGACTAGCAGACAATTTCATAAACTGGGATGGAATGTCCAGTGTAGTCTAAACATAGGTGTTTGGTTAGTAAGAATTTTCCATTGAGAAGTTGAAACAAGTATGACCTACAAATATGTTATACCTTAGGATAAAAGTAGTAGTAGTAGTCGACATGAATTTAGATTAAATCCGATAAAATCACTGTACAGGCTTGGTGGATACAAATAATAATTGTATTGCAATTTCACTTCTAACTCAAGCTATGAATAGATATTAAAGAAATATCATCCGGATCTAGAAAAACTAACATTAAGAATTTAATGCAGCGACTAGATAACTTGATTTCTCAACTGCAGTTGTTAATTGAGTCCTTATGGCTGTCTGAAAGTACCGATTAAGCAAGAGTATAAAGTGTATATTGTAAAAATATAGAGTCGCTTGAAACACTTAAAAATGAATTTAAAGCTTATCTATTCCATTTGAGGATTAATGTTAATGAAAGATTGTCCTACTCTTTTGGAATACTGAGTTTAAAAGTACACTAATTTCTCACAAATACTGACCTGAATTTGGTTGATTAAGCCTTCATACAACAAACTATCATGGATGTTTGATAGTTCTCGCCAACTGATTATAGTCTTCATGTTAGTAAAATGTTCATTGTTTTAATTTATCGAATATGA